GATGGGAGACAAGAGGAGAAGAGGAAACGTGCCTGGTATTCCATAGTTAAAATAATAATTATGACTGTCCAAGAGCTTCCAAGGCAAGGAAGCAGTAACAGCCCAACTTTACAGATAAGGAGTGACAGTTCCTGACCACGATGTATGTAATCCTACTGTACGTCACCACTTTTAATAACCTGATGCACAACTCGCCCCCCTGAAATGCACACACACTGACCTTCTCTGTCTCTGTGAACCTGTGCCTGGAACATCCGGCTCAGGTCCCACCGGCTATGTCAGGCCTTCCCCCCTAGGCACCACAGCGCCCCTGGACCCTTCCTATGACCCCTAACGTTTCCTGTAACACGAGCTGCCACCTACGCACTGCTTGGGTACTCTCTCCCCGAAAACGTTCTGTGTAACACAATGGCCGGGGGGTGGACAACAAAGACTTCAAATTTAAAACAAGGGGAAAATTGCCATTACATAAAAAATGAGTGAAATCTTTTAATGATGCCAAATCCTGGTCACGTAGGTTGTGTGAGCTACGTATACGCGTATCCATACTTGGGAATGCACGTAAGTACACCAAATCAGTCTGCCATCTCACTGAGACCCAAGAGAACATGCCAGTGTGTGCATTTTTACCATGAATGAATGGAGATCTTTAGGCACCTCTTTAAGTAATTAACAAAACTAGGGGGAGAGAGGTAAGAAAAAGAGAAGACCTGAGCAACGGTTTCAACCACCTTCGCCTCAGCGACATGTGCACCGCACACAGCCGACTACTGCAGGGTGCACATGCTTTTAAGAGTACATAAGACATTCAACAAAACAGACCACATGCTATAGTATAAAAGAGTCCTAAGTAGATTAAAAAAGACTAAAATGTTATAGAATACATTTTCTGGGCAGAACAAAATTAAATTAGAAATCAGTCACAGTAAGATAAACAGATAAGTCCCAAATATTTGGAAATAACCCATGGGCCAAAGAAGAAATCATGGAAATTAGAAAATATTTTGAACTAAATGGTAATAAAATTACAATATAACATTATTTGGGGGATGTAGCTAAAGCATTATTCAGAGAAAAATTTATACCTTTAAAAGACAGGTCTCAAAAGTAAAAGAAAGGTCTCACATCACTAATCCTTAACCTTTAAGTGTGAAAATAATGTTAAACCAAAATCAGGTAGATGGAAAGTATAAAAGGAGAAATCAATAAAATAAAAAAGTAATAGAGAAAATAAACAAAAACAAAAGCTGATACTTAGAAAAGATGGATAAAATTAATAAAGCTCTAGAGCTAGAATGACCAAAAGAAAAAGAATGAATGAAAGAAGAAACACACTACTACAGACCTAACAGACCTCAATATAAAAAGGCAGTATTGTGAACGATTTCATGACAGAAATCTTATCAACTTAGATGACATGAATAAATTCTTTGAAAAAATACAAAAACAGGGGAAAAAATTTTAAAGTTATATATTTTACAAATAAATTGAATTTGTAATTAAAAGCCTTCCCACAGAAGCACAAAATAAAAGATAAGCCACAGATTAGAATATGTGTCTGATAAAAGATTTATTCCCAAAACATACAAAGAACTGTTGTAACTCAGTATAAAAGAAGGCAATAAAATAGTTAAACAAATACACTTCATGAAAGAAGAAATATGAATTGCCAAAAAGCCCATGAAAAGATGCTCAACATCAATTGTCTTCAGAGAAATGGAAAATAAAATCCCAGCGGGTGAAAGCATAAACAAACTGTGGCCTACCTGTTCTATGGACGACTATACTAATTATCCACAAAAAGGGACCACCCACTGATGCATGCAACAGCATGGATGAAGCTCAGAAAAGCCATGCTCACTCCAAGAAGACAGGCACGAAATAATTTTTTCATTTATGTGAAATTTAGAAAAGGTAAACAGAATATATAAAACTTGAACTTACACAACCAGAGAGAGTAGGAAGGTGGGTGCCAATGGCTGGGAGGTGAGGGGAAGAGGAATGGGAAGGTGCTGGTCAATTATACGATGAATAAATTATGGGGAACTAACTGTATTGTATTATTGAAATGCTAAGAGTAGGTCTTAAAAAATGGTAACTGTGAGGTAACAGATATGTTAATTATGATAATTTCACAATTTCTGTGTATATCAAATCATCATGTTGTACAATTTTTATTTGTCTATCATATGTCAATAAAACTGAAAAAACAACAACACGAAGTTTTGAGACTATAAGGGGAAAAAGGAATAATTAACCTCAGTATCTGTCTGGGGGTAGCGGGAGAGAGGTGGTTAACTGATCGCAAAGAGTAAGAGAATGTTTTGGGTGATAGAAATCTTGACTGAGGTAGTGACCATAGCTGTATACAGCTTCAAAACTCAAACTGTACACTTAAAATGAATGGGTTTCATTGTATGTTTAAAAAGGAACTTAAAAAACCCTCAAGAAGAGTTTTCTCATGTCTTCAAAATCACTCCATTAGCATTAAAAAAAAAAAAAAAAAAAAAAA